TTTTTTATGTTTTTCAAAACAGTGATGATCCAAGTGGAAAGCATGTTTTTTGTTTGGAAAAAAATACAAGAAAAAACAATATTGTGGAGATATTTTTAATAACAACACTTAAGAGAATTAATCATAAATTCTGCCACTTAGCAGAAGATGCTGTTCGTATGCAAAAACCATTCGTAGATTTATAAATGCACACATGTTTAGAATATAACATAATAAATATACATATGTCGGCATTCAGAACACTTCCTAATAACATGATCATTAAAAATTTAATTAAGGGCGAAGCCATTTACGCTTAATCAACCGAAAATATCCTTTGATATTTGAAAAAAAAAAACAACACACAGTAGACCTTAGGTCGGTGCAATTCTAATTTTTTATCTATCAACTTAAGTAAGTTTTTAGTATAATAAATGTCATTTATCAAAGAAAAATGCTTATTCAAATGTTTTATTTTTGTATACATATTTAAAAAATTATTCTTAATAATAAGAACGCTCGCAACAGTACTGACCTAGTGAATCTATACTCTACTCCGTTCTCTACAAGCACCTCTTTTACACATACTTACTTTTATGGTTAGTTTTCTATAATAAGCCTGCTATAATCGACCCAAATCAGTGGCTTTATATTAAATTACATATACATAGCTAACTATATATAACAAATCATATGACTGTATAGACAGATGTTTGAATAATGCTTTTCATTAACATCAATAAACTAAGTCAAACTGTACTAATTAGAAAATGTGTGCTACTTTCAAAACTGTTCACAACTTTTATCTGTTCTCCAACAGCACACATTAATACAAAACAAAGAAGAAGAAAAAAACACAAATTAAAAGCACAACATATGAATATGTGAAATAAAGTTCATAGTTCTGACAACTGCCAAGCGCCGTGGCAACCATTCATGCAGAGTCAAGCGAACTGACTGCAAGCAAGTAGTTAGTGCAGAAAGATAATAAAGGAAATGATGAAAATGAAAACGTAAAATGATTTTTGTACAACAACTTTCAACTTTTTACAAATGTCAATTAAAATCTCTGCTTTCAACTCCGAGCAAATAATGATTGCGTTGAAGTGGAAAATTTATTTATTTATCTTGTGTTGCTGCTGTTGTTGCCTTTGATCTATGGGAAGTAAATATCGACTGCACTGTAGAATATGAAAAGCTTACTTAAGCTTATGTATGTTCTTTAACGGACACACGCACATTGACCCGCACTACTCCTTCACCGTCTGTGAACGAGCATATTGAACGGAAGCGAGCTTATTTCGGTTGCTTTCATTCGGTTAACAAACTGAGATGTGAAAACTCTGTTTTCAAACAGAAGCACAAAAAGAGCATTTTATGCACAAATTTGTGTAACTGCAATATATGTAAATATGAGAGGAATATCAATCGAAGTTGAGCATTAAAAGTAAAGCCGTCGAGAACTTCAAAACAATTGCAGAGAATGAATGAAGAACTGTAAAATTCATGCCAAGAGTTAATAGGATCAGCAAAATGTCTTTAAATGTCCGGTGCTCTTTAGTCTGTAACGGATTAAAGAGAGAGAGAGAGAGAAGGAGACAGAAAGAGATAGAGAGAAATAGACAGAGTGTGAATGAGATAGATCGGGAGAGAAAAATACAGAGAGAGAAAGGGTGGGGTGGTTAATGCCCTGAGTGTTCTCAAAATGATCCACTTTGTTTCAACCCCTCGCCCGCATAACCCGTTAGCTGGTATGAAAAAACGCAAGCTAGAAGGCGCGTCCTCGCAAAGGATAAATGCAACAAGTGATCTTTTGTCCTCGCGACCCAGACCGATCCACAGTTGTAGCGCCAAAGTAATAGAAGAGCCATTAGTAAATTATAGAAATGAGTACTTAAGGCTTGACTTAGTTTAAACGTATTTCTTATTGATTTCGGGCACTTAAATATAAATTAAAATTGTAACCGAATACTCATCCGAGTTTTGATCCTTTCATAGGGGTTTTTTTTTACGTGGCTGGTCCCAAACACTGCGCACAAACCTTAAGAGGGATGATAACACGGCTATAACCGCGAGTTGGTGCCCACGCCAATAAAGAAGATAAGAACAAGCTAATCATTTAAGTTCTCAATGATGATTTACAGTGATCAGAGCGATAATCACTAATGATTTCGGGTACCAAATAGGGTATAAAAGGAGCCGGTACTGATTTCGATGAATTTATAATTCAAATTATATAGTTTCGATTAGAAGTTTTTGGTGTCGATTTCGTTTACTTTAGTTCGTATAAAAGTAATTGCTATCGATTTACAAGACTCCATAAGTAAGTATTCAGTAATAGTATACACGACTCAGTAACTAAATATTCGGTAATCAATCCCAGAATTCATTAGAAACTGAAAGTACTACTCAGAGCAAATTAAAACCAGTGAGCAAAATTCGGCACTAAAAGCAATTTATACATGAGTACTCAGTACCCATTCAAAGTACTCGGCGTCAATTTATACATGAGTACTCAGTACCGATTCAAAGTATTCGGTGTCAATTTACTTAACAGGTTTTACCACGTTAGAACCACGCAACACTGAAAACATGTCAAAAACAAAGTGCTCCGCTAAATAATTATTTCACTTTAAGCTCTTCAAAATCTTCATGGAACATTTATCAGTGCTCACCAATTGCAAATACACACACACGTTTGCGGGAAGAGGAAAGTATGTACTCGAGTAATTTGTTTATCAGGATTAAAACTTCACTGCCAACGGCATGTGGCAACAAAACACCCAACCATGTTCAACTCAACTCAACCTCATAAAACTTTCCGTACGGAGCGATATAAGCATTCAACAGCTGCCTGTACGCATTTCAATCGTATCACCGGCAAAACAGTCATACAGGTACGCCGCCTCTTTTTTGTACTTTTCCCGTATTTACATGCTGTATTTATTCTGTGCCATGAAGCAGGAGCATCAGCACCCGCAATGCTTACATAGCAACAGGAGCAGCGAGAGCAGCAATTGTTTTTGCCGCTACAGCTATTAACCGTAAATGGAAAATAAGTTGACGAAAGCATGTTGTACGAGCAAAAAAAAAAAAAAAACAAAAAAGGGGGTACAAGTTGGGAAAGCATGCACATAAAGAAACTGAGTTTCCACTTTTCTGAGCGCAAACAATGCAGGGGAAATATTTGTTGAAAATGGGTAACAAAAAGACAAGAAAGCCGCTGTCGACTTGTTAGTAAATGAATGACAGCACCGTCAACAGACAATAACAAAACATTAATTTTCATTGCGGGAATGAAATGTGCTTTCTTTTTATAGTCTTTTATATGTTTGTACCGGTGCCAGGCTATTTCATTCACTCAGCAAATGTAGCGTATAACAGCCGACAGCTGTGCTACGATTTAATTAAAAATATTGCTGATTTTTAGTTGAAGTTGTATTGTAGTACAACTGTAGGAGGTGAATACTTTTTAGTAAGATAGTAGTATACCTTTAGGAGCTATTTACTTTTTAACGAAATATGAAAAATAGATTAAACTATTTTTTAGCATAACTTTAGGAGCTTTACAATGTTTTTAACATTACGTATGGCACGTCATTTTATTTTCTAGCATACCTTTAGGAGTTATATACATCTACATACAGTTTTGAACCTAACATATGGCAGAGTTATTTTGTAGCACAACGTTGAATTTTCTTCCAGATTTGCAAAGCAAGCATTTGTTCTGTTTAAAACTAGCGCAAAATGAGTTAAAGTAAGCAGAATATTTATAAATTAACAACTTCAAATTTATTTCTATTAGGTATAGCTTTTTAAATTTGTTGTTACAACTTTCGTAGTATACAATGAGATTTAAATGTATTTTTTAGCATAACTTTCGGAGCTAAACAGTGTTTCGAACATAACAAGCTGAGCTTTATAGTATTTTGAAGCATATACAGTTTTTATCTTTGCATATGACACCACATGGTCTTTTGTAGCGTACCTTTAGGCGTTATATACAACTATGTAAGAGGAAATTGTGTTTTGTAGCATAATTTTCGGCAACAAATGTTGTCATAAACATTCGGTGCATATTGAAATAAATTGAAATTTATTTTTACCAGGTATAGCTTTCTAAATTGTTTGCTAATTTTTTGTAGCATACTATGTAGCGCTGAAAAGTATTTTTTAGCATACCAGTTGGAGCTAAAAAGCATTTTGTGGGGTTGAATACTAGTTTGAAGCATACCATTAGGAATTATATGCAGTTTTTAGCTCCGCATATGACACTACATAGTATATTATGTCATTAAACACATTTTCGTAGCATAACTTTCGGCAAAAAGGACAGTCTTTTTCACAATTTTAGCTCTAAATTAGTTAAAATAAGCACCGTATGTTTATAAATTAATAATTTCAAATTTACTTTTACCAGGCATAGATTTCCAGCTGTGAATTTCTTAGCATACTCTTAGATATTAAGCCTTATACAAGCGTGTTAATTAAGCTTGCCTCAAAAGGGGTCAAAATGATGTAAAAATAAGTATATATTTATAGATTTAATCCCTTAGCTCTTAACGTAGCTGCACCGCTCCTGTGCCGCATCCGCAGTGTAAACTCATTAAAAATGTGTGCGCTGTGTCTAAAAGTTT